TATAACTCTTAACACATGAGTTTAGAATATTTTAAAGTTGAAGTAATGTCAATTTCGAAGATATTATTTAAGGTATACAATGAAAAGTATGGAAAAGTAAGAATTATAGAACACTAGACAATGTTTACTCTTACAAACTAAATTGTTCGGCAAAATAATCACATACCCCGTTTACGCTATCTTACAATTCTTTATTGTCTTCTTACAAATACTATTATGTAGGCCGGGAGTGTCCGAACTTATCTTTATTATACAGTAAATTCGCTGATGCGTATTAAAGGCGCGCTCGTCACTGACTCTCTGTCTTCGCGTGTATTTATATACGTTGTCGCGGGACGGTTCCTCGCGTTTATGAAAAACCCTTTGTCCCGCGGGGCAAAGGGGGAGAGCAGGTACGACGCTACGTACGATCTCCCCTTGGCCCTAGGCCCTAACGGACAAAGCCTACACAAGATATAATATTAAAGAAATCCGGGAGACACATTCGGTAGTTTTGTCTCATCTTGTTTCCTTCGTCTCTCAATATGTCCAACGGATCGCGAAACATTTGTCCCTGGGAAAAAATTACACGAACAGCAGAGTTTTCTCGTTAGAACAAAAGGAACGAGACAAAGTTTGCGGGAAATCGAAGGACGACGTTAACACGTTCAAAAACCATCCACGTACAACACAGTTTGCGTCGCGACGCCGCCGTCGCGCCAGGGAAAACTCTGTTGCCGCCTGTTGCTGTCCCACGTCGACGGAAAAATACGGTAATCCGTCGGCGAACGACGAAAATCGGGGTTGGCGGTAAATAAAATGAGATCAAAATATCGCGTCGTTACATTGTTCGAAGATTCTGTTTTTCTAACATTATCAATAAGTATGCTTAACTCGTTGAATACTAGAGTTAGAAGAAAATTGTATACGACCTTCTTCACAATTAATATCAATACGTACAACTTTTATTTGAAGTATTCTTTGAAATTTTGAGAAAAAAACAAAACGAAATTTTTGCTCGGGATAAAACCTATTCCGAAAATTCGATTTTATAATACGGTTAATTTGGAAGTGGAAAAATGTAAAAACTTGGGATGTAGAAGTCTAGCTCTAAAGTAAAACCAGTTCTAAAAATTGGATTTTCTCACTTTCTTCCAACATTCTGCTCTTTAGAGATAAGGTTACTTCATTATATCATCCATCAGTCTGCACGCTTTATAAAAAGGTTGAGTG